GCACATTTGAAATGGATGTGGGCAAGTGGAGTTCGTGAAGAAGCATTAGAATTTTTACGTGATTTCACCACAAGGATGTCAAATAATGATCGAGTTGGTAATAATGGGCTACTTGCACGCTGTTATCTCAAGAAGGGAGAGTGGCAGAAAGTTTTACAGGATGATTGGGATAGAGTATGTAAACTACTACTGGAAAATTTCAGTCGTTATTATACACCTTAATAACTTTAATATATTTTTAGGAAACCGTTCCCGATATTTTACAATCTTATTTGCTTGCAACGCAATATGATAAAGATTGGTATAAAGCTTGGCATGCATGGGCTCTCGCAAACTTTGAGGTTATTTCTTTTTATGAGAAATTAAAATCTGCTGAAAATAATACACCAGCCGACCAAACTATTACTACTGTTACTGAAGAAATTAGTGGAGACATTCAACAAGAAGTATTACGTTACGTAGTACCGTCCGTTCAAGGTATTGATCATATTCAAGCAAATTTTAATTTAAAAGAAATATTTTTTACAAATGTTCAAATTAAATTTTTTTTTTTTTTTTGTAGGGTTCTTTAGGTCAATCGCTCTTTCAAGGGGTAATTGTCTACAAGATACATTGAGACTGCTAACTCTCTGGTTCAAATATGGTTATCAAGAAGAAGTCTGTAGTGCTATTAAAGAAGGATTTGGCAGTGTCAATATTGATACATGGCTCGAAGTTATTCCGCAGGTTTGCTCATTATTTATACATAGGACGTCATAAACGATTCACTAAGCTAATTAATGATATTTTATATAACGAACCAATTTAGCTGATTGCGCGAATTCATGCTCCAGATCAAAAAGTGCGCCGCCTTATTCACGATTTATTGGCCGAGGTTGGAAAAGAACATCCTCAAGCTTTAATTTATCCTCTTACTGTTGCATCTAAATCTCAGAGTTTTAATCGACAAACTGCTGCTTCATCTGTCATGGATAAATTAAGGGCGCATAGCGCTGTTCTTGTTGAACAGGTATTTATATCATAATATTTACGTTATTATTCGTCCTTAATAATGACGAGCTGTTTGAATCATTAGGCTTTGCTTGTCAGTCAAGAACTTATCCGTGTTGCAATATTATGGCACGAAATATGGATGGAAAATTTGGAAGAAGCATCTCGTTTATTCTTTATTGAGCGTAACTTTGAAGCTATGTTCAATATATTGGATGAATTGCAGGAACGCCTTGATCGTGGTCCCGAGACTTTGCGGGAAGTAGCATTTGTACAAGCATATGGGAGAGAACTTCAGGAAGCTGGTGGATGGTGTAAGAAATATAAACAAACAGGAGATATGACTTTCTTATCTCAAGCTTGGCAAATATATCACGAAGTATATATTAACTATTAATTCTATTCTTTCATTGTTTTCATTGATTTCATTGCTTTCATCAAGTATTTTATTGAGCGTAATTATATTTATTTACGTTTGTAAAAATAGATGTTTAAAAAAATAACTGCGCAAGTGGGAACCATAACAACGCTGGAACTTCAATACGTTTCGCCGAAATTACTTGCAGCACGAGACTTGGAATTGGCAGTTCCAGGTTAGTCCTGGATGAGAAATTTTTTTTTTTTTGTAAAGCCAACGTTTCTAATCTTGTATTATTTTTTTAGGCACATATAAAAGTGGGGAACCTGTTACCAAAATAGCAAGTTTCATCGCTACGGTCAATATTATTTCTTCGAAACAACGCCCTAGAAAATTGAATTTGATGGGTAGTGATGGCAAGGAATACCAATTCTTACTAAAAGGTGCGTTATTTTACTTTATTTTAATTACAACCGTTCATCAATAATGATTGATAGCCATTTATGATATTTAAACAGGTCACGAAGACTTACGGCAAGACGAACGTGTAATGCAACTATTCGGCTTGGTGAATACTTTGCTCTCTATAGACTCGGAAACGTTTAAGAGACATTTACATATTCAAAGATATACTGTAACTCCTCTCACGCCGAATATCGGTCTTCTTGGATGGGTACCTAATTGCGACACCCTACATGCTCTTATTCGTGATTATCGTGAGAGTAAAAAGATTCTCCTTAATATTGAACATCGTTTAATGTTACAGGTAATTTATATTTAAAAAATTTATTATATATTGTATATCTGGTATTAACAATGTGAACATTAATAATATAAAATGTATAGATGGCACCTGACTATGACCAATGTACCATTATTGAGAAAGTGGAAGTATTCGAATTTGCTCTGGCTAACACAACAGGCCAAGACCTTTACAAAGTCTTATGGCTTAAGAGTAAAAACTCGGAGGCATGGTTAGAAAGACGTACCAATTATACTCGGTCTTTAGCTCTAATGTCAATGGTTGGTTATATTCTTGGATTAGGAGATAGACATCCATCAAATATCATGCTTGATCGTTACACGGGAAAGATCGTACATATAGATTTTGGTGATTGTTTTGAGGTAAAGTTTTAAAGAATAAATATGTATATAGTATGATGATATTAAATTTGTTGATAGTAAATTCTTTAATATATATATATATTTCTGTCAGGTTGCAATGACTCGGGACAAATATCCAGAAAAAATTCCATTCCGTTTAACGCGTATGTTGGTCAACGCAATGGAAGTAAGCGGTATAGAAGGAAATTTCCGTACCACATGTGAGGCTGTTATGAGCGTTTTAAGAAAGAATAAGGAAAGCTTGATGGCTGTTCTAGAAGCTTTTGTACATGATCCTTTAATAAATTGGAGAATTATGGCTAATCCAAGTCCAAGACAAGGTAACTTTATCGACCATAATGTTTCTTTTTACAGAATATTTAAGAATTTTTAATTTTTAAAAATCACCTCATTTTGACTAGATGGTGAGAACACGCATGCGGTCGCAAGTACAAGCAATCGTCGGGCTCGCGATATTATTAATCGTATATCAAATAAGTTAACAGGTTAGAAGAATTAAAGTATACTGTATAAGTGCTAAATATGATTATTTTTTTTAAAAAAATACTGATTACTGTTTCCTTGTTTATAATTGTAGGCAAAGATTTCAAACCGAATCAAGTGTTGGATGTACCGTCACAAGTCGACAAACTCATTCAACAAGCAATCTCAGTCGAGAATCTGTGTCAATGTTACATCGGATGGTAATATAATTTAGTTACTACGTTTGGTGTGTATATATATTTTGTTACTAATTGTTATTTTTCCTTAACTTTATAGGTGCGCCTTCTGGTAGTCGGTTGACAAACATGATAATAATATTTAAGCGATGAATTTATATTTGAATTTATATTTTAATTTATATCGTTATTATTTAGATTATTATTTTTAATAGACTTTTGCACACATATAATATAATATAATATAATATTTAACATTAATTATTTGTTAATGACAAAAAAACCAACCCCCCTATATAAATAAATTTTGTCTAAATCAAGTATCACGTGATAAACAAAGTTGCGAAACTCCATTATTCGTCACTCGTTAAATTCGGCCAAGTTCCATAATGCGCCCAAATCACGTGGGGTGAATTTTGACAACTATATATATTATGGTTTATACATATTATTTTGCTAATAATTATATTATTTTATAAGGCATTATCGTCGCTCCTCTTGAGAATTTTATCATTCTTCTTGTTTTTCATATACATTTTTTTACATGGGAATATTTTAAACTCAAAAATTCAGAAATTGAAGATTGATTTCGTTCTATATTAATTAGAAGATCTGATTTGATTTTTTATTTTATATTCTTTACAAATAAAAAGTCACTTGATCGTGGTAGCGAAAAAATATGATTGGTATCGAACTAATCATAATATATTATTTCCTGTCTTGGTTCCATAAAGGCTAGCCAATCAGAAGTTGCAGTGGGTAAAAGTCCCATGGAAAAACATTTATATAATCCCAAGGCCATTGTAAGAAGCTGTAAGATTACATAAACAAGTTTTGGTAACATTAAATGTGGCCTGGTTTTTGGTGATTCATATCGTTCAAACACTTTTAAAGAATATGCTTTGTTAAATCGTAGGAACAAAAAAAAAAAAAAAGAGGCAACGGTTATATACGCTCACCACTATCGATCCCCATTAATGCTTTAATCGGCTGGAAAAATAACATTCCTGTAATCATAACACTAAATATCTGTACTCCATTTCCACTCATCCATAACATAAAAGCATTCATGGGTATATTTTTTCCTGGAGATAAAGCTACATCCCACGCTTTCTTAAATCAAAAAAATGATAAAAATAAATCCAAATATTTAAGCAAGAAATATTATAATATTGACAAGTACTTTAATTTTTAATTGTTCTTGGTCTTTTTCGTCTTTTTTATTTTTCTTATAAAATCAAATCGATAAAAAATAAATAGATTATTAGAATACTTTAAAAAATGAAAAACAAATAAATAAAGATAAATCGCCTACCAAAATGCCTTTAGAACTTGAAGCAGTGATAGCCGGAACAGACGCGGTAAACCCTGGTGGAGGCGGTGCATCTATGACATAATTTTGCCCTCGAACTTCTCGTCGTCTGTAATAATGCAAAACTATAAAGTGAGAATAAATAAATAAATATATATATATTCCACAAAGCGCATACCTTGCTTGATCTGAAAGATTTGTAAAGTCAATTCTCCATTTGTTGCTCGACATTTGTCTGACTTTTAATACTTAATAGTCCAAAAAAAAAAAAAAAAAGAGAAAAAAAGGGAACTAACTTTCCTAAAACAAAAAGTGGGCACATGACGGATTTTATTTGAATTGCGATTACCCGCAGTTTTAATTCTACTTTCTGACTTTCAAATAGCAATGCGGTGTAACAAATCTTGTAGAAAAGAACATTTTCGACAAATTCGGGGAAACTTTTTTGCCGAATGAACCTTACATTTCATTTTGTCGTGGAATTTTGTGGAAAAGACAACCTTTATCTCTTTTAGGCAACTCAATAAATCCGTTTTCCAAATTCCAAATAAACAAAATGAATCATACCAAAAACCAAAATATTCCAAATCAAAACCTCCAAAACACTATACCTCCTTCAGCAGCTGTAAACATGTTAATTGACTTAACAAAAGATAATACTGCTGCTGTTAACGCTTATTGTCCAATATTAGCTTCAAAAAAACAACGACGACTTGGAATCAGGAATGATTCTCCATCGTTATCTGCTGATACTAGACCACAAAAACGTAGTAGAATAGAAGAAGCTCAAGATTATAATCTATCAACACCGTCTTTATCAGTTCAATCGATTCCAAATATTTATAATCAAACTAAATTGCCTAGTACTCGAGAAATTTTTAATAATTCCCCTCCAATGGCTCCGGCACAGGTTAAACATGTTGCTTCATCAACTTATTTTCCTAACAATTCTATAATAACTCCAGAATTTACTTCTGCACCCACTTCAAATGGAATTCAATCTTCTTATGTACTACCAAGTAATACAATACTACCACCCGCTTCTGTAAATTATTCTTCACAATATTTATCGCATCCACAAGGTTTCCAAAGACCATACTATACTGAAATTCCTCCTTATAATCTGGGATATATTATGAATCCCTCCATGGCTCAAATACAACAACATATTACTTCTAATTCCCCTCCCAGTAGTTCTAGTAGTACAACTAGTTCTCAATCCCCTAATAATGCTCTGCAAGGTGAAGTTATCGATCTAACGACTGATAGTGATGACGATTGTATTATCGACGAGAAAGAAACCAACCGAGATTTGTGCTGGGGGATGATCGAAAGTTTAGTATTAATATTATACCCAAGGCCCTGTACTGGTGGCAAAGGTGAAGAAGAGGTGAAGTTAAAACGTGAAGGGATTACAGGAAAAAATCAAGGTTATTTTTTTTTTTTTTAAAAAATCAAATCAAAATCATGATCATGATGAATCTTTAAATTATAATATTTATATTGTATAAATAATATTTAGCCGTAATTCGTGTTAACAAAGATAATGAATTGGTAAGAATCCTTTACCAGTTTGTTGTCGGTTTATTTTTTTTTTTTTTGATTAATATAAGACTTTAACTAATTATACTTGAAACCTTCAAGTTCGGAGTAGTTGAACAAGATTTAGCTAATGTACTGGCTCCATTGATGGACGAAAATCTTATATGGACAGAAGCAACGATTCCAAAAAATTGGTCTCCTTCAGTATATAACTTTTTTAAATTTGTTTTTCTTTTACATTTACAATTAGGCAAATATTTTATTTGAAGATCGAGTAGTTAACACAAATCATTTTTTAGGACCAGATGATACCTTTACATATTGTAATATATGGACGTCCTGTTAATACCGAAATTGTGAGCTCGCATCTTTATGAAAGGAAAGTAATTTTGACAGATCCAGTAGTTTATAATGTAGAGACGCGTTATGCAAATCCACATAGTCTACCTCCCGGTATCACTCATTTGAATAAAAATAATCTGAAATCATTTAAAGAGTATTCGGGTGGAAGCAGTGGGACAACAGCCACTAGATCACCGGAAGATATGAAAAATCAAATTGATAAGGTTTTTAATTCTTTAATGAATGCTGAAAGCATTCCTGAATTAGATCCGGGTAAGGCAACAATTATTTATGTAAGAATATATATTTCTTGTTCAGCATCATCTGACACAAAATTTGCAATATAGATGATAGATTAACTACGACGTTATATAAACATCAAAAACAAGCGTTGTATTTCCTAATGAAAAGAGAACAATACAATGATTTTACTGACGATCAGACTAATGAATTAACTACATTATGGAGACGTCGAATTAGCGCAGGACGGCATACAGTCTATTACAATGTAGTAACTAACTCGGAGGTCAAAATAAAACCCGTTCAGATGAGAGGGGGGATTATCGCCGATGATGTACGTTTGTGAATATCTTTATTTACAATGTGTTTTATTCTTATATATTTACACTTTTCATACTATTATAGATGGGTCTTGGTAAAACTATACAAATAATAGCGCTGATCCTTGGTACTCAAAATGAAGCTATAGAATTTGCAAAAGAATCAGAATTTCTCTCTTCAAATTCAGATTCATCATCATCACCTTCTTCGAATAATCGTAAGTCACCATCACCATCTAAACAATCAGCAAATGAATATTCAGACATGGATTTGAGATCTAGGGGAACCCTTATCGTATGTCCCCTATCTACTGTTGCAAATTGGGAAGAACAACTTGCTGGTCATGTTCAAGAAAACGCTCTCAATGTATATGTATATCACGGGGGCGCTCGCATTTCAGATCCTTCCCATTTAATAAATTATGACGTTGTAATTACAACTTATAACGTATCTGGTACTGAATATAGCAAACAATCAAAAAACACCATAAATAGTGCTTTGCAACAGATTCATTGGTTCCGTATCATTTTAGATGAAGCCCATATAATCAAAGATATTAACACAGTACAAAGTAAGGCTGCTTGCTCATTGAAAGCGGAAAGGCGTTGGTGTTTGACTGGAACACCGATCCAAAACAAGTGGGTTAACGGTTTTCCTTTATTTATAAATTATCATTTTACATTTATTTATATTTTTTATATGTATAGGTTGGACGATTTATTTGCCCTTATTAAATTTCTTCACATGGTTCCTTTTGAATCCAAGGAAAACTGGAATCACTACATTTCACGCCCAATTAAATCAATCGATCCTGTTGGTATTAGTAGATTACAAACTATAATGAAGTGTATAACTCTTCGTAGAACAAAGATAGTTAATGGAAAACCATTATTGGCCTTACCACCACGCAACGATCACTATCGTTATCTTGAACTTAGTGATCACGAACGTAAATTATATGAAAAGATATATCGTTCCCAAGCTGAAAGGATTAAAAAGTTTGCTGAGGAGAACAACATTATGCGACATTATGTTAACATTTTGCAGTCTTTATTACGATTGCGTCAGATTTGTGCTCATTACTCATTAGTCAAAGAGTCCGATATTCCTGACGATTTAGACGAGGAAATAGTTAACGAAGGGTTAACTCCGACAAGAGCGTTGATGTTGCTTAGTATAGTTAGGGAAAGTGGAGTGGATCAATGTGGCTCTTGCCTATCGGATTTGGCCCAAACAGTTGTAGTTACTCGATGTGAACATTTGTTCTGCATTGATTGTGCTAATAAAAACATGAGTCAATTGTTAAGTTCAGCCTCATTTGAGGACCAAAAAGTTTTGGCGGATTGTCCAATATGCGGGCTGAAATTAATTTCTGGAGATGTTTGTGAAGTTTCCGATTCTAAAGATATTGAGAATGATCATATTACGAGATCTGAGGGGGTTGTGAAGGTCCATAGTACCAAAGTCAAAGCGTTACTTGAAGATCTGGTTCAAGCAAAGAAAGATGGTGTGAAAAGCGTAGTGTTCTCTCAATGGACCAGGATGTTAGATTTAATACAAGTAATATTATAATAAAATTTAAATTTATATTTATATTTTTTTAAACAAAAAAGTCTCCAAACTAATATTAATAATAATATTTAGGATGCTTTAAACGAAAATGACATCATATATACTCGATTAGATGGCACGATGCCTCGTGCAGAGCGTACACAAAATATGAACATTTTTAAAAAACAGGATGATGTGAGCGTCATACTCGTTTCTTTGAAGGCTGGTGGCGTTGGGTAAGACTTGATAGTGATTTATAGTTCAATTTCGTTATATGTATTCTATGTTCGATACTCGGATGTGCTTATGAAGAAAGTGAGGTTAATCCAACAATTTCTATATACATAGGTTGAACTTGACAGCTGCCCAACGAGTATATCTTATGGACCCTTTTTGGTAACCGATTTATATACGAATTTCAATTTAATTGATCATCTTATACACATCTAAATAACTATCTCTTTCCCCTTTTTTTTTTTCGTAAATAGGAATCCGTCAGTTGAAAACCAAGCCATCGACAGAATTCACCGTCTTGGCCAAACTTGTGCCGTGGATACTATAAGATTTATTATCAAGGTAAATTAGACTACCTTTTTAACTCTATAAATAATCGATTAGTTTATTTATTTACAATGATATGATATTATAATAGAATTCTGTGGAAGAAGGCATACTTCAGTTGCAAGAGCGTAAGTTACGACTTGCTGAATTAACATTTTCCGAAAAATTGAGCAAGCAAGAGATTACCAGACGTAGATTGGAAGATCTCAAAGTTCTTTTTAAATGATTTAAGGTTGTCATTATTCTGTTATAATATCAATAATTTTTAATAAGCCGAAATAATAAATAATTAAAACAAAGATTAATGTTTAATATAAGGAAAAAAAAAAAAATACTTTAACCCTTTGGGACTATTAAAATAATTATATCTAGATACGATATATTTGTATAATATAGCACGTGATTACATTAAGTTTACCGCAATAAAACATTATTTAATGAATACATACATAAATACAAATAAGAATTAGTGAATTATTAATTTTTATCTCCCATACATGTTTCATTTCCTCCATCTTTAATCACATAACGAAATAACAACGGCACTAGCGCCACCACCACCATTACATACACCAGCTACACCAACTTTGCCATTCTTTTTTTGTAATACACTAATTAAAGTACAAATAATCCTTGCGCCACTACAACCTAGTGGATGACCCATGGCAACAGCTCCTCCAAAGACATTTATTTTATCTTTATCTAATCCAAGTAATTTTAAATTTGCTAATGCTACTACTGAAAATGCTTCATTAATTTCAAAATAATCTATTTGTGACAATTGAATATTTCCTGCATGAGCCAATGCTTTGGGAATTGCCAATGCAGGTGAAGTGGTAAAGTTTGCTGGTGCCTTATAAAGGAAGTTTGAGACATTTTTTAAATATTTGTGAATAAGAAAAAAAAAAAAATTATGATTTATAATTTAATTACCTGAGCGGCTTCACCCCATCCACTAATTTTTGCAATGGTTTTGACGCCTAATTCTTTTGCTTTTTCACCACTGATCAAAACAATGGCTGCGGCTCCGTCACTTAATGGTGAAGAATTCGGTGCAGTCACTGTCCCTTTTTCCGAGAAAGCTGGTCGGACTACGCGTAACTTATCAACATTAAGCTGTATCAAAAATTAAAATAATTTATTTTTTCTTTTTGTTTGTTCCCAATAAATAAAATTAAATATCAATCTCAATTTTCTTACGTTTGAAATTTCATCATCTTGAGTGATAACTTTGTTAGGTTTGCCCCTACCTCCCGGAACGGTTATGGGAACAATTTCATCAGCATAATGTCCATTAGCAAAAGCTGCTTGTGCACGTTGATAAGAAGAGATCGCATAATTATCCTTTTTTTTTTGTTAAAACAATTTTACTTTAGTGTAAATTAAAAATAAATATTGAAGGTTTTTTTTTTTTTTTTTTTTTATTTTTACCTGATCCTCACGAGTAAATTTGTGTTCAGTTGCACATTCTTCAGCAGCAATGCCCATAAGGTAGTTATTATATACATCTGTTAAACCATCTTTAACTATGCCATCAACAAGAGTTTGATCTCCATATTTAGATCCAAACCTTGCTTGCGGTACATAGTAAGGAGTGTTTGTCATTGATTCCGTACCACCCGCAACGACGATCTATCGATATCGATATCGTTTTTTGTCGTTACAAAAATAATCATATAATATGCTATGAACTAATAAACCAATTGAATAATTGATCATGAACTCACATCAGCATTACCGGTGATAATCGTTTGAGCACCTAAAATTACGGCTTTCATACCGGAAGCGCATACTTTATTGACAGTAGTAGCGATCACGGTATCAGGGATGCCTGCACCAAGAGCAACTTGGCGAGCAGGATTTTGACCTATAATCGATAATTTTTTTTTTTAAAGTTCGAAAAAATTTAATAAAAAACTTCAGTTCAAAATAATTTCGATGGATGAAATTGAAATTACCAAGGTTGGCCGAAAGAACATTTCCGAAAAAGACTTCTTGAACGCTATTAGTTTCGATTTTGGCCTTTTTTAAAGCAGCTATGGAATTTTTTTTTTTCAATTAATAAAGGAATCATAATATTAAAATGATTGATTGATGGATTACCTTCAACAGCAATTGAACCTAATTTTATGGCAGATAATGATGCTAATGATCCGTTAAACCCTCCAAGCGGAGTTCTTGCAATAGCAGCGATATATACATCTGATAAAAAATTATTTATAAATTTATAAATTCATTTATCAATCATTTTAATTATTTTAATAAGAATGTACCTTTTTGAATCATTTTTAATATTAGTAAATAAATTTATGAAAAGAAAAATGAAAGTACAAAAGAATGAGCGAATTTATTAGCTCCATCTTTTGTTAAAAAAAAAAAAAAAAATCGATAAAATTGCAGTAGTTTGTGAAATGCAAATTAAATAACAAATTTGAACATTGTTTCCGGAAAAAAACGCATTTTCGATTATACTCCGGAAATTACTATTATGGAAAAGATATCGGTGATAACAACTTTATTATAATTTGTAATTAAGAAACAGATCTTTACTATTTTAATCTAATTCATAAATTTCTCGAGGTTGTGGAGCCTTTATACGAATGCGACCAGGATACGAAAATGATACAACAGGATAAAGCTTTGAAGGAAGATTATCCCAAGCCGAACTTAGTGATTGTCTTTTTCCATTGACAGAAAACGCACAAGTTCGTTTATTCATATTTAAATGAACAGTTATCCTATCTCCAACTGAAAATGACGAGCCATACCCTAAATTAATTTTATCATTAGCGCAAACGCCATGAGAGCCGTAAACCCATCCATTCGATTGGTCACCAGCAAATTTATTGTAATTAAAGTTTTCCTCGGACATGATTCCTATCCATACGCTATTACACATTTTTTCGATGATGATATCCCATTCATATTGTCCCTTATCGGTTATAGCAATTTTAGCTTTCACACTTTGATTCTGGTCGCATTCTGGTATTGCCGTAACAATGGTTTCTTTTTTATCGTCGATAATAAGTTGTGACCCACAGCAATTCCTATCCCATACATATTCTGCATCATATTCAATATACCCGCAGGGATCGATATTCCAAACATATTCTACGCTATCTTCAATGCATATGTATGGAATTCCGCGTGTGTCTGGTATTGATTTATTTTTTGCTTGGTGACGATAAACTTGCATCATTGCATCATTTGGAACTATTTCTAATGGTTCAATAATGTCTTCCAGGATTTTTACGTTAATACGCCAAAGTTCGACATAATCGAGTAAAGGTGTAAACATTTGAATCAATTGTGGAAGAACTTCAATATACTTTGGATTATCGATGTTATCAATTTGAATCGGATGTCCAGCGATCTTCTTCTTTGATGGTAAATATCCTTCAAGTATTGAAGTTGCGTCTTTGGATATTTGACCGGCAACTCGAATCAATGAATATCGGAATACAGAGTATTCTGGAGTAGCGAAAGGGATCATTTTGTCGTCTTGAGTGTGTGATAAAAGGCATTGTAATGCTTTTAATGAAAATCTGTCAGGTCCAATAGATTCTAAATGAATTTTTGCTACTGATTCAACTAGCAAATCCATAATTTCACAATCGGCCGATGCAGACATCTTGGCAACCGCCCTTGTTAAGAATTCTGGTGCACATGTTTGTTTTTGATTTACATTAAGAATGAGTCTAACTATTTTGAAAATTGAATCCCGAAAATCAAACATTTGAAAATAATCTGCTGCATGATATACTTCAATTATATTGTCATGATTCAAATAATTCTCCATATCACATCCTGTATACAAAAATTCGAGAACTATTTCCATCACCGAAGAACTAATTTCTGGAAAGGATATCTTATTGTCAAAAGATTCTCTCATTCCATTATAGAGCAGTCCATCAAATATTTCTGAACGTGCTGCTAATAAAGCTCGACATCCATATAGTTTGGCTCCATTTTCACAAAGAATTTCGATATCACTATATTTTGGATTATTAACTAAAAATGATAAGTCTTGCGACAAAGAAATTCCTCGTGTCATCCTTAACTTTTTATTCTTTGTGTTTAAAAAAAAAAAAAATTTAAATTTGTATAAATTGTAAAAATGGTGCTTGGGAAAAAATAACCTGTTTGTTATGTACGCGTTTTAAAAAATGACATCACGAGATTAAGGTATCACAGTGATGTAATATGTTGAATTGAATTTTTACGTCAGACCTGAATCCTGTCAATATAAAATCTTTTTTGTAATCATTACCTATTATAAGTTAATAAAAATAGATTTTTATTTTGAATTATTTAACATTAAAATTTTTATGATTGGAGTTTTACATATTAACAATCAATCATTGATTTTAAATAATATATATTTTATCAATTAGTTTAAGAATTTTAACTTAGTATTATTACTTATTTTATTATATATAATATATATTTCATATATTTATTTCTAATCAATTGTGATTTTTTACTAATATTTTACCTAATCTAATCAATCAAATTAATATAATGACATTATAATATTTCAAAATTTCAATTATTTATAGCATTTAATTTATATATAAATATTATTTTAATTAATTATTTTAAATATAAAAAATATATTTGAAACGTTATAATATTGGTATTTTATTTAAAGAATTTGAGGTTAAAGAAATTTCTTGAAGAGATATTTGCAATTTTAAAAATTATTATTATAATAAGTTAAAATATATTCAATTAATCAATTAAAAAATATTAAATTATAAAAATTACTTTGTATTATATAAATTAAATTTTACAATTAATTTTTAATTTAATTCAAACAAATTTTAACTTATTAAAATTTTATATAAAAAAAATCAAAATCTAATTTAGTATTATAACTTTATAACTAAAAAATGAAAATATTATGTATCTAAAATGAAATATTATATATTTATTTGTAATAATAAATAATTAAATATAAATTATTCTTATTAATATACAATATATTACAAATTTTAGTGATATATATATACAGTGCATAAAAATTTTTGAAAAAATTCTGGAAAATTTCTAATAAACTTTACCAGAACCAATTAAATTTTACCAAAATTTTTTGAATTTAAATTAGCATAGATTAATTAATCAATATTTAATCAATTTTTTCATCATATTATTGTTACAATATGGTTTTAAACATCAAAGAATTCGTAATGACAGTTTGTCTCAAGAAAATGAGTAAAATCTTTAAGAAAATTGAAAAATTCCAATTTAAATAAACATTTAAAATTAAGTGACTATTAGAATTTTCTTGGTTACATTATGATAATGATAACAAAAAAATGTTTTGTACAATTTGTATTAAACATAAGATGAAAAATAAGTTTACTATAAAAGGTATAATGAATATCTTAAAAAAAATTAGCAGTTAAAAAACATGTAAATCAAATTTTTCTTTTGATACAAATGCCAGATATATTATTATTGTAATAAGAGCTGTATATTTTTAGTCAAAAAAAATTTTTCTCTTTAACTTTTACCTTCTATTATTAAAATAATGAAAGAATCAGAAACATCATATATTTTTAATAATTTAATTACATATAGTAGTGGTCATAAGTATCTGACTACCTCTAACTCTAGCTACAAGTAAGTAAATTTAAAATTTTTTTTTTTATTTAAAAAATACATAACCAATTAACTAAAATTAATACATTGTGTAGTCACCATCTGACTCTATAAG